GAGAGAGAGAGAGAGAGAGAGAGAGAGAGACAGATAGACAGAGAGACAAAGAAAGAGACAGAGAAAGAGGCCGAGACAGACAGACAGACAGACAAGAAAAATTGTGACGTCTCTATCTAAATGTCTACTGTTACCACCATTGACAGAAGAAGAAGTCCCCAGATACTTTCAGACTGGAAATATGGTTGAAGCCAGACCGCTTTACGTAAATCCCACTTCCTGAAGGACGAAAAATGACAATCAGGAAAGTTATTTACCAGAAAAGGCAAAGTGGGCTATTACCAGCGTTTTCTTTCGCAACCGTTTAAAAAAAAGTCATCTAGTTTAGTAAGATGGTGTTTCTAAAAGAATCTTTTTCGATTGTTAACCTCAAAATGTCTTGCAGCTTTTTTATCTATTTTTTTTCCAATTAAAAAACACAGTTTCAAATAAAGACAGAGGAAAAGAAAGCAGTGACTAATGACATTTTGATTTTAAAAAAATAGAAACACAGTATGCTGAATTCAGCTATCTAAACTAATCTGGAGAACAAGTCTTCAGTGTATTCAGGGGAATTTGAGAAAGGTTTCCCAGAAACTTAATAAAAATATTCATTTTTTAAACGTGTTCTTTTGATTTTTATGATGTCAGTCACTCGACTGTGAAGTGTTCTCCATAGATTTAACAAGTTAAAACAGATCCTACCTATTTGATGTCGATGGGGGTACTGGTTTGAAACTAGCCAAAAAGAAGATCTCTGCTGTCAAATACTTTGATTTGGTTATTATTTTTTGTAAAGATATACAAGAACAATCACTAGGAAGGTAGTTTTGAAACTTTCACATAACATTTTCGTGCTTGTTTCTTATGCAGTCTATTCACGTAAAGAAGATAAGGACCCCTGTCGTTGTGAAATACTTTTCAGTGTTTATTTCTTTTGTAAAGATGCACACGTGCAAAACCAATACTATTTGCTAGAAATGTAATCTCGAAGCTAAAATAGCATTTTCTTATTTGTTTCTTATGTGTTCTATTCGTTTTGAGGAAATGTGGATCTATGTTGTCAAATACTTTTAATTTATCAATTTTTTTAGGGGGGGGGGGTGTTAAGATATGCAAGTAAAATCGCTAGAAAGGTAATTTAAAACCTTTTAAATGCCATTTTGTAGTTGTTTCGTGTGCATTCTATTCCCTTTTCGCACAAAGTCTAATTAAATGCGACTAAATACGTTAAGTGTTTTTCCCTTCTTCAAGTGCAAGATCTGAGTGCACATTAGCGATCACGGTTCGCCACCCATTTTCTTTCTCCGATGCTCCCTAAAAAACTAAATTATCATGGTCTTTCGCCTTTACTATTTTTCTGACTCCACCCATTCCCCGAAAAAAAAAAACCGAAAAAAAAGAACACGCAAGTAAGATCATCATTAAAATTCAAGATCTGCGACAGACACCAGCGAGCTTGGTTCTCCATTAATTTTATTCCTTTGCTTGGGTGCTCTCGAGAAAAAAAAGAATACTACATTATCCTTATATTACCCGTCAACCACCTGTTTAGGCTCTACGACTAAGTTGCTTTATGTCTACACCTGTCTCGTTTGCCTTCAATTTTGCCAAAGTGTTCAAGACCTTTATTATGCCTTTTCAAGAGCCTCAGAAACGGCACTTGTCTTTTCCTTATTAGAATGAATGGGGATTTTCAAGATTGTTCAACACCCCGCCCCCCCAAAAAAAAGAGCGGACAAAGAAAGTTATTTATTGCAATCTTATGTGGTTCTCGTTTACTCTATGCCCAGGGTAGAGACAATTTATAGAAACCCTCCAGTCTCATAAAGGGTATTATTTTGTAGCTTTTTAGGGCCCTGAACACGATTTTGGAATTGAAAAACGTCGCAAATGGTTAGTTTAGATGTTACGGCACTTTATTTCAGGGGGGGGGGAGAGACCCCCCTGACCCCCCCACCCGACCTACTACACAGCTATAACGTACTCGCACGTCAGGGGGAGACCCCCTGTAACCCCCCTAATGACTATAAAAGCATGCATTATAAAAAAAATCCTTAAAAAACTGACCTTATTCGTATATCCGACGGCACTAAAGTGGTGAAGGAGCTGACTTCCGGAAGTGGATGTGACGCGAAACGGGAGTGCTTCAATAAAAATACCTAACAAAGTCATAATCAAGACAGAAGCAGCCCTACGTGATTTTTTGTTTTACAGCGTACGTTGGTGAAAGTATTGGTCGATGGACAGTTTCAAAAATCTGGTCTCTATACTCTCACCGGGAGTAATAGAAGGGGGAATGTGCGTCTGCTTGGGAGGGGGTGGTGGTAAGAGTTCAGATAGACGAACCTCCCCCTAAAAACAAACAAACAAACAAACGAACAAACAAACACCCCCAAAAAAGAACAACCAAAACAACAACAAAAAATAGACAACAACAAAACAAACAACAACAACAAAAAATAGACAACAACAAAACAAACAACAACAACAACAACAACAACATAAACATAAACAACAACAACAACAACAACAACAACAACAACAACAACAGAAACAACAAAAATAACGTGTATATATTATAAGCACTTACAATGAAACACTTCGAGGAGCATTCTCTTTGCCTGCTTTTTGTAAGGCAATATCATGGCATTTCCTCAACGATTTTCTCAAGGTAAATATTGCTACCTCAGAATTGCAAAGTTCTGTCTGATATTTTGGCTGTTATAAGACTGGGTAGTTAGAAACCACGTGTTCTATCTGCTTTATCAAAATCGTTAGATTATTCGGAGTCGTTATCAAGATATCTTATAAAATGCATTTGGAAAAAGCTAGACATGATGTGAACCTCAAAATCTTTTGACTTCAAATTTCTCACAACTAGACAAAGAGCAGATAAAACTTTGTAATTCTGATGTAGCGATATGTCGAATAAGGTTATTCAAAGGTTTTCAGGAAAAGGGACTCAAGATTTTTTTAAAGATAAAAACAACACAAAAGAAACCAGAAACCTATTACATTAAAAGTACAAAACACAAACGACAGCAAAAAAAAAAAAAAAGAAAAGAAAAAAAGCAAACGGCACGCACGCTGGTACTTAACCGCCCAAAGAGCTAAAAGTACAGGAGTGTAGTTGGCAGTTTTAACACTAAACTTAGTCTTAGAGTTAGAGAGAGAGGCTAATAGGCTTAGAACTGACACTTGTGCACCGAAAGCGACACCACCTCTTGAGTTAAGGCGTGAGAATTCTGTGAGTTGAAATAGTCAAGTCTCACGAAAATCCACGGCTCAGCTTTTAAGGACGAAGGTGGTAGAACTGCCCTATATATATGGCTGTGCCTCCACTCCACTTCAGGACTTTAGGTGAAAGAGATTTTTTTT